CCCCCCCCCCCCCCCATTTTTCAGAAAAAATTGCGTAAAGATACTACTCACTGTACTGTAGGGGAATATCAATCAAACGACAAAAAAATGGAGTGTTTAACAAACGGCCTACTCCTCCACGGAACGAAATCGTCAGCTCCGCTTCGCTGTTTCGGCAACCCCGTTCGGTAGGCTCACGGTCTGCTTTGCCGGGCAAGCACCCAGAGACGCCCAGAGTCAGAGGGCAAATAGAGTAAAACACGTCTTCTCTTCTCACGGTTCACAGCCGCGGATTGCAATGAATAGGCCTCTGACGATCGTGCTGCTGGTCGCCGCGATCGTGATCCAGACTCTGTTCGCGCTGCCCAGCGCGGAACGGGACAGCAACGCGGATGAATACAAACTGCCGGCAGACCTTCTGATCGGAGCTGGTTTGTCAGCGGTGCAGACCGAAGGGGCCTGGGATGTAGACGGTGAGCAAACGAATCATACCGTTGAGTCTATCTACTAAATGCACAGCTATATTCTTATTGCAACCCCAGACAACGCTTACCACGGTCACCCTCCTTGCTTTTATTCAAAGTACCCGCAAGAACCATTTCGGAAGAATTTAATGAAATATAGTTTCGTTCCGTTCCCTTTTGTTCTGTAACGAAAGGAACAGAACATTTCGCTACCACGCTCGTGAACCGGCATCTTTCGGTTGTGCCAAAAACCAATTTGTTTTAGAAAGTCTAATAATCACCGTTTCAAAGAATTTTCAAGCTTTATTTGAATTGCTAAGCCAGCAATCGGGGCTCACCTAATTTCAGAGCTGCTATGCTCGTCCTGTGAAGTTTGATGTGTGTGCGAGGACCGTGTATCGAAACCGATTTTAAAAGGTGCCAACGAGTGCAAGCACGTCTACAAGCACTTAAAATTTTCAGTAAGTAACTTGAACCAGCAACAACAACTCAAAATTTTAACCGATTATGCCTAAATTTTCCGTGATAACTTACTTTATAAATGGTCACACATTGGATTTTTTATTATTAGACTTTTCTTAAACGGATTGGTTCGTGGCAAAACCGAACCGAAGGATGACGGTTCACATGCGTGGAAGCGAAATGTTCTGTTCTTTGCGTCCCGGAACGAAAGGGAACGCAACGCACAACATTTCATTAAAATCGTCCGGAATGGTTCTCGCGGGCACTCCAAACAAAAGCAAGGAATTGCGTTTCTTTTCAGGAGTATCCGTTCGGAATTTGGCGACGACGTTTTGCGGGGGTGCGCGGAAAAAAAAGACTTAGTTGTGATGTTTCTTTTTCCGTGTGCTTACATGCTCATTTTGGTGGTAGCACCGAGAACGTTGTGGTCACTGTTAGGAAAAAATAATTTTTTGTTTCGATCATTATTTTTTTCAAAAGGTATGTGACTGAATGCCATTTAAAAACAGAAGTTTGACTTTTTTTTCACCTACAGGTAAGGCAGAGAGCTCAGTGGACTGGGTCCTCAACACGATGAAAATGGACCCAAACCATAAGGTAGCAGCAAACTCCTACAATCGCTTCCGCGAAGATGTTAAAATGGCAGCTGAGCTCAAAGTAAGTGCTTTAACATTAACTCAGTGCGTTAACCCTCCGGAGACCACGAATCGACGTGTCCATGTGAACATTAGAGGATGCATTTGTGTGTTTTTTCGTTACTTGAAACATTAAACCCTCAAAGGTGCGTTAGCAAATGCCAGTACAATAAGTAGACACACTACTATAAACGATCTTGTCAAAAACAACAAACTAGGCCCAAGGCCCGCTCTCCCGCGCCGCCAAACCAATTTGCCAACTCCCCTTCGCTCTACCGGCAACTTGGTGGTATGCAATCGAATTCAGTTAAAACCACCTTTTGGCAAGGTATATTTTTGCTATCTATTTCATAGATAAACTTTATGTATTTGGGTGTATATTAGATTATAAGTGAAAAGGGTATTTCGGGTAAGGGGAGCGGGGGAAACTGCCCTGTCCACTGCTGGTTGCATCTCTGCCGTTGATCCGCGGGGGAGAGGGGAGGGCAGCGGGGCGGCGCAAAGTCTACTGCGCATGCGCAGTTCGCAGGCGGAGACGGATCCAGCAGCCGCTCGGCCGTTTCGTTTACGCTGCTTCGCTAACCCAAAATACCCTTGGCCAGCGCACCCAAGCCAGCGGACCAAGGCATCGTCACTTATAGTCGAATATACGCCGAAGCCGAAATACATGGTCAAAAGACAAAAGTGGTAACATTTTCAGATTCAGTTTGTCAAGATCTAGCTGCAAGTGTTATTCGTTTTTTGAATTGCGTCCGATTTTAGGATAAACATTGCCTTAAGTTAGACAGACTGCGGCGTAGCCAGCTCATGCGCTGCAAGCGGCTCAGAAGGTCTTTTTAGCCTGCCCTTCTGCTTTGAAAAAGCTATCCAGAGGGCTTATGGCAAACGACCTCGTGTGTGTCTGTCTGTCTGTGTGTCTGTCTGTTCCACTAGAAGGAGATGTGCTAGAGACTTGAAATTTTAAGGGTATTTTAAGGTCCACTCCTAGAGAACGAACCGCCTACGGCAAATCCTGGCAATCACCCCAAAGGGTGTGAATAGGGGTATCCAAGGTTCAACAAGCAGGCCCGCCCTTCCGCCAAACGAAGTTGCCAGCTCCGCTTCGCTCCGCCGGCAACTCCGTTCGGCAGGGGCCGGGCCTGCTTGGCCTGCCGGCGGCGATGGTCGGGCCTGCGGCCCGACCATTTCTGTCACGCGATTTGCTGAAGAACATGATCGAATGATGTAGCGGGCCTTCGGCCCGCTTAAACCCGTCATCTTTGAGTTTGCCCCAATGACTCGAGAAAGGGATGTAACGGTGAAGCACCGCGACTACAACCCACCCTTCTGCTTAGATAACGGTTTTTTGGGGGTGGGGGAAAGTTTCCTTTCTATTTTTCGGTTTTTAGGCCCTTTTCTACATGTTATTGTTCACTATGACAATTTTTAGCTTATTTTCGTCTAAAAAGACCCTCTAGCGCGTAAACGGTTAGAGATAGCGCAAAACGGACGAAATTTTCGCCCAGGGCTCTACTTTCACAAGTTACCCCTTAGGAAATCATAAAAAAAATATTTTTTCCAACTTTTTTGGCCTTTCCTGTTTTCTTCGATACCCCCTTTCAGCCCCTTAGGGGTGGCTGACAGGATTTGCCGTAGGCGTTTTGTTTTGTGGGAGTGAACCTTGAGATCCCCTGAAAATTTGAAGTCTCTAGCACATCTCCTTCTTGTGGAACAGACAGACAGACACACAGACACACAGACAGACAGACAGACACGAGGTCGTTTGCATAAGCCCGCTGGATAGCTTCTTCAAAGCAGAAGGGCGGGCTAAAAATTGTCGAAAACGGAATTTGTTTTTATGCTCTGCTCAGGGGTAACACGTCAAAGTAGAGATCTCTGGAAATTTCGTCCGTTTCGCTCTATCTCTAACCGTCTAGGCGCTAGAGGGTCTTTTTTGACGAAAATAAGCTAAAAATTGTCATAAAGAACAATAAGTTGTAGAAAAAGGCCTAAAAACCGTAAAATAGAAAGGAAACTCTCCCCCCACCCCTAAAAAACGTTTTCTAAGCAGAAGGGTGGGTTGTAGTCGCGGTGCTTCACCGTTACATCCCTTTCTCGAGTCTTCGGGGCGAACTCAAAGACGACGGGTTTAAGCGGGCTGAAGGCCCGGTACATCATTTGATTATGTTCTTCAGCAAATCGCGTGACAGAAATGGTCGGGCCGCAGGCCTGACCATCGCCGCCGGCAGGCCAAGCAGGCCCGGCCCCTGCCGAACGGAGTTGCCCAGCGGAGCGAAGCGGAGCTGGCAACTTCGTTTGGCGGAAGGGCGGGCTGCTTGTTAGTGTGTATGCTCCGCATTGCGATTTCCTTCATTCTACCATGGTAAGTTTCTATCTCTTCCATTAAATTTTTACTTCTCTGTTCCTTGCAGTTGGACCTGTATAAATTCTCCATTTCGTGGGCTCGAGTTCTGCCTACTGCGGATGCTGACGCCCCTAATGCAGCTGGCGTAACATTTTACAATAACCTCATCGACGAAATCATAGCGAAGGGCATGACCCCTATGGTAAGGATGAACAACATTTCATCCCGTTTAACGTCACCTCCCTAGCCTTTTAGTCAGAGTAACACAGAGCGCAAGGGTGAAATGTACCGCTGGAAACGTTTATGTTGCAACATATTTAACGTTAAATCACTGTGGAACGAAAATTATTTTAGGGCACAAGGAGGAGTCTGCAGGTAACTGCGTAGGGCGGGCACTATTCGGGCACCTCGCTCTGCGCGCATAAAAAAGTGACCACTGCCCGCCCGGAGAGCCTAAGGAGCGCCCGGCCCTGCCCTGCCCGGCGGGCAACGAGGTGCCCGTGGGCTCTTGCTGCCCGCTAGCTGAGCGTCTCTCTCACACCAACGCGTTTCGCCGCCTCTGAGGTCTGAGATGCCCGAAAGTGCCCGTGGTTTGGCGGGCTGTTGCGGTGACAGCATGTGGCAGCGCTTTGGGATCGCACGGGCACCTCGCCGGTGGAATCCAAGCGCTCGCTGTGAGGTGCCCAATGCCGCCCGCCCTACGCAGGTCCCTGGTAGTCTGAGGACTTCCGATGATTGGGTAACGACAATTCAGTGAACGCTTTTCTTTCTACTCATCACTCGTTCACGCTCATGTGTGTCTTCCCGTTCAAAAGATAATGGCGAGATAGTGAAATAACGTTTTTTTAAAGTTAGCACGCCCTGGTTTTTAGGCCGTCGGTTCAGACTGACTTGTGCGTCTGGTAGGAGCCAGCCTGATCTAGTTGACATACAAGCCAGCGCAATCAGCCAGCGCCAAGCCCCAGTCCCCGCCCAGCTAGTATACATGGGCTTGTGTGCGGGTTGGGGTTCGATAGATCCCGTTCACCTCCGTCACCCGGTCACCCGAAGATAGAAATTGGGGTTCTTGTTCTATCCGCGATGTGGCGCGGGCCTCAACGCTGTACCAAGGGAGCTAGAGTGGAGGAGGTTGCCCGACTCGGCCGCGCGACGGGCGCATAAAAGGACCCCACTCCTCCACCCCCCGCCCGCTGACCCAGCCTTGCCGTGCGCGACGCCCAAGGGCCCCAGCCAGCCCGGCCCGACGTTTTATTCTTTTGATTTCCTTGCTTTTAATTTTTATTAATTCCCATGGTTGTTTCCGTTTTGTTAATGCCGAGGGGGAAATCACTTGCGAAATAGTTCGTACACCTTCCCCCGAAATAGTCCGAAATAAAGGCGAAATAGAGGCGAAATAGAGCGAAATAGAGCGAAATAAAGACGAAATAGACGCGAAATAGTCGGTGAAATAGTCGCGAAATACCCCTGAAATACTCCGAAATAGCGCGAAATAGCCTGAAATAATCCGAAATAGGCGGGAAATAGCCGAAATGGCAGGAGAAATAACCGAAATGGTAGGAGAAATACTAAGAAATAGTCCGTACGCTACGAACCCTAGTGATTTCCCCCTCGGTTGATGCCAGCTATGAAGTCATTCGTCGACTGACTCTTCTACAGCCCAGCTAGCCAGTTTCTTAACGTGATATTTGTAGTTTACGATTTGTTGCAGGTCACAATGTATCATTTCGACCACCCTAGAATATTAGAAGATAAATTTAAGGGTTGGCAAGACAAACAGATGGCAGATAAGTTTGCTGAGTATGCCGGTTTCCTCTTCAAAACTTTCGGTGACAGGGTAAGTTGAAATTACGACACACAACTAAGCAAAGGGCATGTTCACCTAAGTGTCGATCCGTAGTCTTTGACTCAGTATCATTCAAATCGTCACTCCGTTCAAGTGCACTACATAGACCGAAGTTCTTTGGTATGTTCTTCTTTTCAATAAGATTGTTAACCGAGTCATCACGGCCGTAGACATCAACTTCGGCCCTTTTAAAATGTCATTACTCTCCCAAACACAAATTCATGAAGTGCATAAAAATGTATAACCATAATTTAACAATTTAAACATCTCAAATGTCCACTCTAATTAATACTCAACTATACCTTAGCACAAGCTTACCTCTTTTTTAAATTTTTAACTTACATATGTACAGGTTAAGCACTGGGTTACTATCAATGAGCCCAATATGTATTGCGCTTACTTCACTAACATGTATGTACAAGCGGGCTTGCGAAAACGAGAAGAAGTCGACCAGTACGAGTGCATTCACAACAATATATTGGCCCACATGAAAGCAAGACAAGTCTTTAAAAGGAGAAGTTATGATGGTAAGAAAAGCAATTTGGGGAGAAATCGAAAACATACTGTTATCGTGAATACTTGTACATCTTTGATTGGATTTGACGCGTTTTAACCGAGGCTTTTACTTATATTATTATAACGCATGTTTTGACCAACAGTCAGAAAAGCTTGTACTTTACTTTCAACTTACTTTCGCTATGAAAGTATTGGCTATGTATGTCTACCTTTTACATTGTTTTCTTTACTTTTTCGTTAATGGTGATGTTGAATTTTCTAGGAAAACTTGGCTACAGTACGCTGTTGATGTACGCTCAACCAGCAACTATAAGTCCTGAAGATGTATATGCCGCAAACGTCTTTAACGAACTTCACGCAGGATCTTCGCTACATCCAGTTGTCTATGGAGATTACCCACAGGTATTCGTGGCTAACTACCATTTGAAACAAACGCACCTTTTCTGTCTATCTTAAGAGAATCTCGAGAAAGCAAGGCAACATTTGCGGAAGTGCTTTACTCAGCACGGGCTCTTTCAACCTTCAGCCGGTACATCAGCCAGTAGCAACTCCCTACGGCTCCACTGCTGGTCCAGCGCGCTGCTATCTTCTATTTGTCATATCTTTGTACCGAACCTCCTCAAAACCGCCGTACGGCGCTAGATATGAAAAGTTACAAGAAATGTAAGGTTGTTAACGAGAGTTGCCAAATCGAACCGGGCACGGACACATTTTTGAATGAAAGTTAAACGGGGTCCAGAGTCGTGACAAGGGGCACCCTATTTTCCTGGTTTTCCTGGTTAAAACCGCGTTTGACCTGCCAGCCACCAGTTAAAAAAAGTGTTCTATAGGCCATGCCGAATAAGAATAGCACGATGGACTTAAGATCTTTCTGCCCGACGCGAAAAGATTTGTTTGCTTTTGGTATGCTTTCGGTACGCTATCGGTTCGCGGAGGGTCGCGCTCGGTGCGCCGATGGGTCGCCGAGGTTCGTCAGGCTCCTGGGCGACGTACAAGATTCGCCGGAGGTTCGCGCCGGAGCGACCTTTGTGTGTCATCGAGTCGCTCCATGCGCGGACGGGCGACCTGAGTATGTTTTCAAGTCGCTCCGAGACGACCAGAGCGACCCCAGTACGCTTTCGGTTTACCTGGAGAGCCCCGGGTAGTCGGGGTATTTTCCTTCCCTGGAAACCCCGGCCGGGGGCTAGCGCTAATCCCTAGACCGGCGCACTTGAGAGCAGAAGAGGAGAACGATGGGGCGGCCCCCGAAACCCCCGGAGCCCGACGGCTCCTCTGCAATGCACACTGCACACTTTGGCAGCTGGACACAGCGACCACGTCAGTCTACATACGAGTTGAAGTCGCAGAGAGGACGCACTCGTAGAGAGAGGACGCATGCCTCCGTACAACTATGCACATACGTAATGTACGCACAATTTTAAGCGATATTATGCATAATTACGGAGAATGTTGTACACAGTTACGTAAATTTTGAACGTAGGTTATGTTTGTGGACAGTTGTACGCAGCTTCGCACAAAACAGAACATTTTCAGTCAGTGCCCGCCGCAAAATAATTTGTTCACATTATGTGTGCGTTCTGCTCGCGTCGCGAAGAGGGGGACTTCAGTACGCTTTCAGGTCGCTCGCGGTTCGTCGGTTACAATCTTCTGGCTCGTAGAGCCTCGAGGCTGGCCGAGGAGGGACCCCGGTATCGGACACGGTCCCCTTACCGGCGAACTCGTGGTCTAGTGGTCAAGGTGACGGGTTCCTAACTCGGATGACCGAGGTTCGAGTACCAGCAAAGGTAAAGTACTTTCCAATTAAATGTAATTAAATAAAATTACTACGGTGAAGTAGAGGAAGAGGGACGGGCCAGGGAAAAGTAACAATCGATAAAAACCACAAAGAAAATATTTTCCTTTTTGGCTATCGGAATACCTCTGCCTACCCGCTCTGCACATCTCCTACCCGGGTACTGCCCCCTAGATTCCGACATCAAAATGTGCATCTAGAGCGTACTTAAAACGAACATTTGGCGTACTGCAAGCGAACACTCA